TCTCATATAGGCATTTAACTATTTTACAATTTCTGAGGCATTAACAACATGACCAGGTGTTACACAAACAGAATGATAAAAATGAGAATAGGACACTTGTTGCGTCATCCATAAGGCGTCAACCTGCTCCTGCAGAAGCGCTGTTGTAGTGACACAATCTCCCCACATCAAAGTGTCTGGAAGATCGAAGTTAGTGGTCGAAGGCCAACAGCAAGGGTCTGGCCCCAGATCATTTGTTCACTCAGGGCAGGATTCATCAAGATAATTGCTGCTGGCGCCTGTAGAATCAGCGTTGGTCTCATCAAGGTTGGCCTCCACTGGACGAACATATCTTTCAGGAGCCCAAATGGGTTTATGCTCCCCTGGAGAATAAACACAAACAGCCCCTCTCACCCTGGCTAATAAGGGTGTCGGCTCTTTCCACTGTCCGGATAAGGGATCTTTCCATCTTACCCATCCCAGGAAGTTCTTGGCCCTGGACCAATGCCTTTCCATAGCTGAATACCCTTTGGTATCCACAGTGAGAAAATTTAAAGTAAATAAGATTGAGGATAATTGCACACTAGGAGAGGGAAGATATTCCCCCCTCTTTATTTTAGTAAAATATTGTTTTAAGACCATGTTCATTCTTTCAACCACAGCTTGACCTTGTGGATTGTAAGGGATTCCTGTTGTATGGGTAATTTCATGCTCCTTGAAAAATTGCTGAAATTTTGAGCTTGTATATGCAGGCCCATTATCTGTTTTTAATTGAGTTGGTATTCCCATATAAGCAAAGGCCGATATACAGTGGGCTATAACATTTTTGACTTTCTCTCCCATATGTAGGGATGCAAAGACCACTTTAGAATATGTATCTACAGACACATGCATATATTTTAATGTCCTGGCTGATGGAACATGAGTGATGTCCATCTGCCAGAGATCATTAGGTTTAAGACCACGAGGGTTGACTCCCATAGAGGGCATGTTGTGAAAAGGAGCACAAGAAGAGCATAGGGTAGTGATTTGCAAAGCAGAGGCTTTAGAACAACCAGTATGGTATTGGAGGGCTTTAACATTTAAATATTTGGCATGCAGGCGGATGGCCTTATCCTCAGGGGTAGCCAGAAATATGCGTGTATGTATATCCGCTAGCTGATTACCTTCAGCTAGGGGTCCAGGTAACCTGGTGTGACTTCTGATATGACTTACAAAGATGGGGTCGTGCCTGGACCATATCAAATGTTGCAACTTACAAAGATGTTGTTGTATGTGTGATGTAGGAGAAACATAGGGAGCAGTTTCCAGTGGCAGAAGGATCTGGGATAAGTTTACACTGTTAGTATACAGATTGAATGGCTCCTGGGAAAAAACTTGTAGAGCTAGGTTACAAGCCATAACCTCGGCCACCTGCGCTGATATATTGCCCACGGGAAACTTTGAAAGTGTATCATAAGAGATTACTACAGCATTACCGCGAGGGGATGCGTCCATGAAGACAGTTCAAGTGCCGGGTATAGGTCTGATCTTAATTACCCGGGGAAAAATTACCGGGTGATTTTTAAAAAATCCCAACAATGGGTGCTGAGGATAATGATTATCAAGAGCGGCCACAGTGGAGGTTAAAAATAGCATCCAGTCATCATTAAACTGCTGCAAATGTGCCACCTGTTCTTTGTCATAAGGAAGCACAATTCTATCTGGGAGCTTTCCAAACACTTGTATGCTGGTGTGCCTAGCCTTCCAAAGTAACTGCAAAATCATGTTATAATAAGGCGCAA